TCAGGCTTGGTACAAATGGCCACACTAAAATTCAATGCCCGGCATTCTCGGGGTATTTATGAAGTAGGTTAGTCCAACACTACTCACTCACAAACACAAACTTGGCAACACATTACTGCTTCTTGTGTTTATGAAAGCAGAGCTATGAAGAGATTACCCACCCTGATATGGACAGGATTACTTACTGATCTCTGAACCTAAGTGAATCTGTTTTTCTCTTGGAAGAGGAATATCTGAAAACTTTTCCCAGAAAACACAAGGCAAATGACAGGTATCTGCAGAACAACCTGGACCTGACTTGGGGAACTCCTGATATATGACATCCAGCTCTATGTGGTGGTAAAAGGTAGAAATTAGGTGATATTTTGAAACTTACTTTAGAAGAGAAAAATCAAGAAACAGAAATTAATACTTTTTCTTCCTCCACACTGTTTAACATCTTACACTGTTGCTTGTTGTTATGGCTTGTGTCTAGATGTCCCCCCAAAGCCTCATGCAGTCATGGGGGGTAGGCTTTTCAGAGGTGGCTGAATCTAGAGTTTGTGATCGATTCTTGGTCCAATGCTGGAGTTAAGGGTGTGAATGCTACACATTCCCCAGGGTGGGTAACCTGCATACAATATAAGAGACAAAAAGAGGCTTGTCCCTACTCCTCCCTTGTTGTTTTTGCTGTCTTCCACTGCCATGAACTGTTGCCCTCTGCCATGTGCCACCCTGCCTTGGAGCCAGCCAGTTATGGACTGAAACCTCTACAAACTGTGAGCTACATAAACCTTTCCCCCTTTAACGTGGCATGTTGGGCATTTTGTCTCTGCAAGGAGAGAAAAGTAACTAAGACATCTGCTCACTCTCTGAGCCACTATTCTGTTCAGAAACCATCTTTCAGAATGCAGGAAGAACCGATACAATGTGCAAAGGGCTCAAGGTGTGGCTCAGGCTCTAGCATGCACAAGGCTCTAGGTTCAATCATCACGCTGGAGAAAAAGAAATGCAGAAATCGTTATGTCAAACTGTGGTCTTGACGAAGTGTTCAACTGAACAGCACCAGTTTAGAATGTCCAGGTGAGGCAGTCACGACAGGGCAGTACTAAACACTCAACCAACTACTCCAACCCAGGGTACTGTAGTGACTGTGGTACCTCTCCTGAAGGCTCCCTTAGAGCAGCTTTTTCATATTTATACCCTCAGAGACTGGGATAGGCCTGGTACCAAAAGCAACACATAAATGCCTTTCTCAACTGGATGACCTGAATTATTCAGGTACAAACCTCATACACCTGATGAGAGGTATTATTTTATGAGTGGGGAAATTTAGGTCCACAGAGACTAAAAGTTGAAGCCAGTTAAAGAGTGCCTTTTTTGATGCCACCTACGGAGAGCAAGGGCTTCATCTGTCACCTTAATCCTACTTGCCACTATTCCCGGCAGCCACCTCTGCCCCACTCAGACTGTGGTTAGACGTGCCCGTGTCCACTCCCCGCTGCCCACCTCATTTAGTGGTCCATAGGCCCAGGACATCCTTTCACCAGCCTGCAGAGCTCCTACCCGTCTTTCACAAACGGCCCTCAGGCTCAGAGGAGCCGGTCCCCATCATCCCAGCCTCTTCTGTATCTTTTGAACTCCTCCAGCGCTTATGACCTATGTTACTCCTCATCATTTCATGCATCTCTATTTCCTCTCCCGAAACCATAAATCCTTTGAGACAGGGACATACTTGCATGACCTCCCAGCTCTCTTTCTCATCAGATGAGCACTTACTTTCTCCTCTGAGCCTGTTTCTTCATCTCTAAAGTGGGAAGGACAATAAAGCTTACAGAACAGCTACAAGGAACCAATGCTGGCTGCAAAATTGCTTCGTGCAAGCTACAGCTGCGGTTTTCATTTTTATATTAATTTTTTTGAGACAAGGTCTTGCTATGTAGTTCAGGCTGGCCTTGAACTCACTGTGCAGCCCAGGCTGGCCTGAACGTATGATGATCCTCATGCCTCAGCCTCGTGAGTGCTGGGATTACAGGTGTGTGCCACCAGGCCCAGCAAGCTGCTGTTTTTAATCATTTACTTTTTTTTTTTTTTTGAGACAGAGTCTCGCTGTGGATTTCAGGCTGGCCCTGAACTCACTATGTAGACCAGTCTGGCCTTGAACTTGCAGCAATCCTCCTGTCTCCCAAATTCTGAGATTACAGGCATGTGCCCCCATGCCCACCTCTAATCATTAGTTTTGCTGTTACTTTATTTCTGTATTCCCCTCCATCCTATCCATTTCCAGGCATAAACTTTTTGCTGTTGTTGTTTTCTCTTTTTGAGACGGGTTTTGCTATGCAGTTCAGGCTGGCTTGAACTCACTTTGTAGTCCAGGCTGGCCTTAAACTCACAGTGATTATCTTGCCTTAGCCTCCAGAGTGCTGAAATTACAGGTGTGAGCTACCACACCCAGCCATGTTGTTGTTTCTTGAGACAGGGTTTCACTACATAATTCAGGCTACAGTTCAGGCTTAAACTCACTATGTAGCCCAGGCTAGCCTAGAACTCACGGCCTCCTGCTTCAGCCTCAAGTGCTGGGATTACAGGTATGTGCCACCATGCTCAGCTTCCCTGGCATATACTTTTAAAAATACTAACAATATTAAATGTCATGAAAATCGCTTTTACACTTGGATATACATTAGCAACTCATTCTGTCCACTAGCCATTTACCTGAACCAAACTGTATGACGGAAGTCTTGCCTATCAACTGCATGGCAATAGGAACCCTTCATCATCTTCATGGTCAAATTTCTTTTGTAAGTGGCGGTGAACACTGGAAGGTTATTTTCTTTTGGAGGTCATGAACTAACCAACTGTATCATACCCTGACAGAAAAGCCAACCCTAACATGATTATTCTTTTGTTAACAGAGACAACTACAATTTACTGATCCTCTCCTATGATCTAGATACAATGTTAAGTGGCTAAGTGCTTTAGACACTGTCTCATTTGAACCCCACTACTCCATGAATATGCAAATCAATTTCTCTCTTTCCCTCCCTCCCTCCAGATACAAACTAAGGCTTAGAAGTGTTATACAATTTCTGGGATCTGCGCTCACACAGCCAAGGAATGGGCAGAGTCAGAATTCACCTCTGGACTTTCTAACAAAAGTATCATGCTCTTTGCACTTGCTATATAACCCTACATCGCTCATATTTTGAATTTCCCCTTGGTCTAGCAGTGCAGTGACAGAGTGCTCACCTAGCACGCACATGGTTCCAGGTTCAGTCTCTAACACTGAAAAAATAAAAAATCTTTCTTAACTTCTACCCGTCATCTACATTCTACTCTTTATATTCACTTTGGGATTTTAAAGGTGTAGAGCTGCCTATAATAAGGGGGCAGAAATGAAAAAAAACTCCCTTAATTTTACAGCTCCAGTAATTGGCTGGAATTCAACACCCAACTGAGAAATAAGTTTTGGTAATAAGGCTGCAGTGAAAGCACTTGAGGAAAGTATGAAATGAGAAAGAAGGGGACGGTTTCTTTCAGAGAGATACCTGAGTGGACAGCAGGAGGAGTGTTGTAAAGGTGGGAAAACACTTTCAGGGTCCAGTGTTTACGATCCCTTTAAAATGACATACATCGGAAAGGAAAGAGACTCTTAAATGCCAGTTAGCCAACAGTAGAGGCCTCAGTCACTTTACAGCTCCCACTAAAGGCTGAATATTAAACTGGAAATTTATAAGCAGAGGGAAATAAAGAAATCACTAATGCCTGTAATCCCAGCACCTGGGAAGCTGAGGCAGGACGATCACTGTGAGTTCAAATGCAGCCTGAGCTACAAAGTGAGTTCAAAGCCAACCTGAACTGCACAGCAAAACTCTGTCTCAAAAATATAAAAAAGAAAGAGAGAAAGAAAGAAAGAAATCACTACTGCCTAAACCACTAGGCCCATAATGACACTAAAAATCCCTGTTCATAAAAGACATTTTACCAGCCTTCAATCAACCAGGAGTCCAGTTTTAAAAGAAACTAATCAACATTCTTGACTGATCACTTGACCTAAGCTTCTGAACTTCTGAAAAGGCAAGATGCATGACTGTTCTTATCATTATTTGCAAGTTGCATTACCATCATCATCATTTGCAGTGCTGGGGACTGAACCCGGGGCTGGTAAGGGCTAAGGTGGCACCCTACCACTGAATTTCACCCCCCAGCCTGCGAGCTGCGTTTCAGTAAGGGACCGCCACACAGCGGGCACTCTGGTACTCCTTCACCTATGCTTTGGCCTTTGCTCACCAGGATGCCGCTCATCTCTGGTGCCCTTTTCTGGGTACCCTGAGTCCCTCTCTATAGGACTGACAGGTCCTCTGGGGGGGTTTCACATTCTAGATACTGCCAGCAAAAGAGTTCAGCCTTGGCAAATTTAATACAGCAGGAGAAAGAGCAGGCAGTGTGCAGAGAACACACCACAAAGAATACTAACGCTATGAAAACTGCAGGGCCTACCACCCCTCCCCTTCGAGCATCTCCTGCGACCAACAGAGCTTCCAACCTGCAGGGCCCAAGGCCTGGGGAGAGTCACTGGTCACGCTCCTCCTGGCGTCCAGGTTTCCCGAGCCCCAGCGGGGCGCGCTTCCCACTGGACACACGGCCTCCCTTCTTCCCCGGGGGGCGCTGCAGATCCGCCACCCCGCCCGCAAGACGCTCACCCGTCCGTCCGCCCAAAGCGGCCTTACCGAGACACTGCCCCACAGGCGTGCTAAACGGGTTCCCCAGGAGGAACTCCATCGCGGGCAGACCACACGGCAGCGGCCGGGACGCCCTGTCTGCGCCGCGATCTCTACTGTACCCCGCCGCTGCCGACCTGACTGACACTTGCCCCCGCCCCACCCTCAGGAACGCCGAGCTCCGAGCCTCTGACCCCGCCCCCTGGTTGCGTCTCTATTGGGCAACGCCTACACAGTTCTTCTCCGATTGGGCCTTGCACCACATCGAAGCCCCGCCCATCTCGCGACGTCCGATTGGGCCTAGGAGCGAGCTAGGTCACCGGAGTCCCCGGCAGGCGTAGCGGCACCGCCCCCGGCCCGCCTCAGAAGGTAGACTGTGCATTTGATTCGTCTGAATGTTGATCAATCTAGAGATACCTTGTTATTATTGGACAAAAGACGACTCAATCGCTCAAACCGGGAGCGGAAAGAGGCGTAGCTAGGAAGTTGCCCGCCCGTACGAAGTGTTGATTGGAGAAACGTTTGTTTTCGCTTCGGCTGGTTGGTGTTTGGAGTTTTTCGCCACCCCGAGATATGATCATGTGATCCCTCAACTTTCACCCAGGATATCTATTCCAGACTTCCCCTTAGCAACCAACCGAGTGGTGGCGCTTGGTTCCCCAGCAACAGAGAGACGTGTTTCCTGCGGAGAATCAGCCCTGTTCGCAGTGCTTGAGAAGGTGAGAGACGGGAGTTGAGGGTCCTGGAGGACTTGCAGCGGCAGAGAGAGCGCCTCTTTCCTGTGCCCCTTTTCCCTAACGATCCCGGCCCGGCCCTTCTCGTATATAAAATGAGCACAACTGTCCAGCAACTTCACAGTGGTACTGGGAGAGCCAAGACAATTTGGTGTTGGACTTTTCCAGTCTTTGTAGGAGAGAACCGTGAAGAGAGCATCTCTTCAGGAAGTGAAGGCCAGAAAGGATCCCTGCGGAGGAGTTTCGTCCCCTCAGCCTCCTCTCTGAACCGTGTCATAGAAAGCTAGGCACCCCTGTCCACTGAAAACGCCTTCCAGAGTTTAGCTCTCATATCTAACCTCTTAGCTCTCGTTATTTCATTTGGTGCCTTAAAAAGTGATTTGGATGAGAATATGAATATTTGGATTCCGTGTCTGTCTCTGTCAGTAACTCATCATACGAGCTCGGACAAGTTCCTTCTCATCCCTGAGGTCCGTTTCCCTATCTGGGAGATAAGGGCATTAGAAACCCCTTCTTTAATGGCTTTGTGCTAGTTAGTTTCCTGTTTGTAACTACCCGACACCCCCAATTTAAAGAAGGAGATGTTCACTTTGGCTTATAGTTTCAGAGGATTCAGCCCATGGGTGGCTGGATCCGAGGCAGAAGTGACATTTAAAAGGCCAAGAGAGGAGGAGGAAAGCTGTCCACTTCCTAGTGGTTGGCAGGCAGAGAGGGGAGGAGCTGGGGACTAGAATAAAAACCCCTTCCAGGTCAAGCCCCGAGGGACCTGGCTTCTCTGACCAGACCTCACGTCCTAACAGCAGACTCAGCTAGTGAGTATAGCGCCCTCACGATCCAATCACCTTCCAGACGTGTAAGATTTCGGGGGGAACATTTTAGATCTCAACCATAACCAGCTTCCAGGGCTGATGTGTGATTAAATAATTCATGGGCACTGAGAGCACAGTAGGCACACAGTAAGTGGCTGATTTTTCTTCTCCTTAATTTATGGCCCGTAGGGTCTCTGTTTTTCAGATCCAGTTAACCAGGTGGTTGTTTCCCAGGGAAATACCGATCTGTTCCCGGTGAGGAGGCTACTTGACTGATAGGTGTGTAAAACTCTCTGGGGCTTCCCTATCTCCTGCCTCTAGTCTTCACCAACAAGCTGTCGTCAGGAAAGTCAATGGGGACCCAGTTAGGGTGATAAACTTCTAATAAAGTCCCCATAGAGGAAGACTGTTTCGGCCTTGTCCCTGACCCAGAGCTGTGTGAGCAACATTATGAGCTGTGACAATGTTTGTTCCTAGTACCCTGGGTGGAGTCATGATTAGGAAGAGTTCTTCCATGTACTAGGTGTGTAAACTTAGGTGTGTTAATTAAGCTTTCTAACTAGCTTCTGGTTTGTTCTCTCGAAACTGGGACGATTAATCCTACATATAAATTAAGTTCCTAGAGATGTCTCAAATCCGTATCTTACTTGTGCCCTTTGTCATCTCTGGCCTGCCTCACCCTCTTGCAATTCTTCGTATATTCTTTTTTTTTTTTCTTCTTTTGGTTTTTTTCCGGTACCAAGAATCAAACTCACGACCTCACACTTGCCAGGCAGGCGCTGTGCCGCTGAGCTAAATCCCCAGCCCACCCTCTTGCAATTCTCAGTACTACAGCGAGAATGAGCTCTTAAACATTTGAAATCTGATCATGTCACTGCCCTTATTAAACCCTACAGGAGCCCAGGGATCCTAGGATAGTAATACAATCCCTGCAGCTCCAAGCTGACATCACTTAGGCCAGAGTGGACCATGCCTTCCCATCTCAGGGTCCTCAGCATGGAGTTTCCTCTCCATTCTTTCCTTCTTATACTTCAGATCTCAACCCTGTCTTCTCTGGCCAGGCCAGGTCCTTTAACATATGCTGTCACAGTTCTCTTCACCTGCAAACTTGCCCTGCTTTGTAACTAAATATTTGTATGATTGTTCGCTTCATGCCTGAAACAGAAATAAGGGTGTTTCTCTGTTATTCATGGCACAGAGTACTCATTACCTGTGTGTGAAGTAACTGTGCGATCTCACAAAAGTATAAGAGAAGAATTACCAACCTTTTACAGATGGGAAAGCAAAGGTTTAGACCGTGAGTGAAGCGAGTTGCTGGAAGATACACAGGCGGAATCAGAGCCCTGCTCTGGTATACTTAATAGATGTGTATGTGAACAGTCCCGTGTTGCATAGTGTTTTCCCGGCTCGACTGAATGCAAGCTTGATCTGTCACGGGCGCCAAGGCTGCATGAAGTGGGAAGGATGAGAAGTCAAAGTTTGGAATTCAGAGGAATTTCTGAAAGTATAGTACCTTTAAAAAAAAAAATAAAACCCCCAAAATGCTTTGCAGAGAATGTCTGCCAAATAAAACATAATAAAATTCCCCCAGAGGTAAGTCGGTCGCTAATTATGGGAAACCTTAGGGAAAATCATTTTAGAAGAGTGGGAAGCTGGTGAGGACTGGAATCATCTCTGGGGATTGAATCAGTCACCCTAAGGAGACAGAGCTAGCGTGGAGAGAGGGGGAAGAAAAGGCCTGGATCTTGAAGGGTGGAAGGCCCATCTGGAGAGGGGACAGAGGTCACCGGGAGATACAGCCATCTGGGGGCAGAAAGGAAGGACGCACAAGAGCTAAAAGCACTGGGACATTTGATCAGGGACAGCTGAGGAGTGGAGCTTGTGTTTGCAGAAGCTGCATCCGAGTAGACAGTGGGGAGGAAGCGGGAGGGTGGTCTTAGAGGGCAGTCTCTAAGGCCAGATGAATGACTGTCCTGGCCAACCTCTGTCTAAGGTACGTCGTCAGTCCAATATCAGGAGTCTCTACAAGTGCTCAGTGGTGTGAAAGGTAGAGGGCAGGGTCTGCCTGGCATCAGGGTGGAAAGGACAGGAGGCCCGGTGGGGCCTGAATGCGGGGCAGACATGTGAGCAAAGGTGGGCGATGAGGCCAGAAGGAAGGTAAGAAGCAGGTGGAATCGGAATGGAGGACTGAACCTCCAGAGACCTCAGGAGGCAGAGCCCCAGGAGATGGAGAATAGGGCACCCTACAGAGCCCGGCTGTCTGGGTGTTCTCGTCAGTAGGCTTGTGATGATGAGAATGAGGCCGGAAGGCCCCTCTTCCCAGGGCTGTGACCCTGTCCAGCCAGGAATAACAGTCCAGGGTCAGCCTCACAGAGTTACTGATGGAATCCACGGATTATCCCCTTGGCCCGCAGTGTCTTACCCGAATGCCTTTGGACCCTGGGCAATGGAAACCTACCAGAATTAGCTTAAACTAAAGAGGAACCAGTGTGAGACATCAGAAAGCACTCGCAGCAGGGGACACAAACCTGGCTGAGGCCTAGGTTTAGGGACCGGAGGGACTAGAAGCCTCTCCCTCTGCCTGCCTGCCTTTGTCTTTCTTTCCTGATCTGCTTTTCTCCATGCATCTCCTGCATCCCCCCGCCCTCCCGCTCTCTCTGCTTACCTACATGCCTGGCTAGCTCATACTCTGTTTCCCAGTCAAGCCAGCAGCCGTGATGGGCACTCTCGTTCCATAGACCCAAGTTCCTGCTGCTCAGAGGGACAACATGAATGGCCAGCATGGGTCAGCGCCCATCTGCACACTGGGGACCACTTGTGTGAGGGGGTAGCAAACACACGACTGCCTGCAGGGGTGAGACACTCTCAGAAGGGGGCCCCAGGCTGGTGCACCTGGCTGGGGCTGCCAAGGGCATGGTCAGTTGTCGGTGACCTTCATGATGTACGTGAAGATGGGAACACAGGGGCCTGATACCGGGCCACAAACTTCAGGAGTGCTGAGACCCGCAGGAGACCAAGCGTGGACACCAGTACAGTGGGAGACCAAGGATGGACACCAGCTGGGCCCCTGCTGCAGTTGTGAGATCAAGCAGGGGAAGGGCCCCGTCTGGGGAAGGGCCCCCCAGTGGTTGCCGGGAAGCCCCGGACCAGCCTCGATGCTCAGTGTAAATGTATTAACCCCGAGGTTCAGCAGGATGAAGGTGAGGAGCGCGTACCGCTCAGGGGTCTGTGATCACCACAGTGGTCCATGACCCTTAAGAAAAGACCTCAGCCAGACTTTGTCCTGAAACCAAGAACAAGGTGGCTGTAAGAGAGGGATGTGATTTTCTAGGGAAGATGAACCGGATCTATGACTCGGTGGAGCCAAGAGTGATGGACGATGACCTGCTCAAGCTGGCGGTGGGGGAGCAGGGCCCCCAGGAGGAGGCCGGGCAGCTGGCCAAGCAGGAAGGCATCCTCTTCAAAGATGTCCTGTCTCTGCAGCTGGACTTCCAGAGTGCGTATCCTGGGTGCTGGCGGTGGGCTGGGGTGGGATGGGGGCACCAGTCAGGCACCCTGGCTGTCTCTGCACCCCCTTCATGCCCCAGAATTCTGCACAGTCTGTGGCCTGAGGACTTCCGTCAGCATGAGGAACCTCGGGCTCTAAGACATAAGAGCAGCTGGATGTTTTTAAAGCCTCACACTTAGTGTCTCTGGCATTTGTCCACAACACTTCTGATTCTGAATGAGAACAGAAAGAAGATAGAGTTGTCCCTCTCCAAATCTGAGTGAACTCTCACTAGACCATGCTGCTTCCATCTCATAATTCCACGGCACTGCCCTGGGAGCAGGGGCCCCTGGCAGGCCTAGGACGGAGGAAGCCCCACAGAGCCAATACTGAAGTAGAGTGAGGGGATGGGGGAGCCAGCACTCTGGGAGCAGTTTTCGGGGAAGGGACAAGCAAAAAGGGGCTGGAAACAGGAGGGGCACAGGGCCCTGAGGTGGGAGGCACTCAGGAATGGCAGGATACCCCAGTGGGAAGATGTGGCTGGGGACCAGGCAGAACCTTACTGCCTCATCCCCATCTACCATGTTTCCTGCAAAATAAGTGCTAACTGGAAAATAAGTGCTGGTCTTTACCGTGATGAAAAGCAGTGTCCTGCAGGAGATTATATCTAACTGTTCTCTTGCTTGGTGGTCACTCTGTGTGGCAGGTAAGGCAAGGTGATTGGACCTGGAATTTTTGATCTCTAGTTTTCCTGCTGGGTCCTATTTTGGGGGAAATATATGAGAGGAGATACCTGTAGTCTCTGCCTCAACCACTGGTTAGGAGGACAAGTGACAACATGTGTATACTGCCTGGCTCATGGTATGAGGCCAGCAGGCGTGGAGGGAGAAAGGTTCCTCATAGCCCTGTATACTGTGCAGCGGAGGCCAGTGCAGAGGGGCCAGTGGGACTCACGTTCCTGCTCCCTCGGGTTCTCGGTTGGCGAGGCGTCCAGCCAAAAAGCAGTTATTGAGACCTGCCTCAGCTGGGCCCTGTGCTAGACCCTGAGGATACAGCAGCTAGCAAGAGGAGCCTAGCCCAGGCCGGCCTCAAGCAGGCCACAGGCCTAGAGCATGATCTCCGAGAGAAGGGAGGACCCTGGGCCTCTCCGCCCTGAGCGGCGGAAAGGATGCATCCAGCTGCCGCAGGATGGGACTTCAGCCCTTGACGGCGTTTCTTTTGCTCCGGCTCCTCCACCTGAGGTTCATTTAGCCAATACTGAGCAAGTGCCTGTTATATGCCGGGTCCTGTTCCAGGCACTAGGATTCAGCTGTGAGCCTAAAAGACAAAGGACCCTGTCTTCATGGGGTTGACATTCAAGTAGGGGAGGCAAATAAAGAAGGAATATATACTGTATGTTAAAGGTAATATGTGCTATGGGGGAAAAGGAAGCAAAGAAAGGGGAAAGAATAAACTCGAGTGGGATGCAGTGTTTTCAGTGGTGCCCACAGCCCTCACCTAGAGGGTGACAATAAACAAAGACTGGGAGGAGAGGGCGCCACATAGAGATCCACCGGGGAAAGTGTGTGAGGCAGAACTAATAGCCAGTATAAAGGACCAGTGAGGCAGGCCAGAGCTAGCCTGAGGAGGCCGCTGTGGAGGCCGCTGTGGAGGTAGGTCAGAGAAGTCTCACTGTGGTCAGCTGGGGTCTCCCTCGGGGCCTATGGAAGGTGCTTGCTTCTTACAGTGAGCAAGGTGGGATCCTGGGAGGGTCCTGAGCAGAAGCAGTGAGGATGGAACTTGAGTTCTCACAGAATACCACTGGCCGTAGAGCCAGGCTGAAGCAGGGACCTAGTGAGATGGTCAAGGGAATGACAGCATCGGCTGGGCCAGGATGCTGGCCAGAAACAGATTTGGTGTCAGTGCTGCCATGCTAGTTGCTCGTTCGGAGCTAACTGCCAAATACTTCCCGGTTTGTTGTGCAGTTTGACTTTTCCACATGAATCGCTGGTGCCTTGCAGGGAGCTGGCATGCAGGTGTGTATGGCAGAGCACCAGGTATGCAGGAGCTACCAGCAGAATTCAGGGAGCTGCCACAGCCAAGGGCAAAGCAGGGGCAGGGTGCCTCAGTCAGAGATCAGGGCCACAGCGGGTGTCTAGAAATCCGGCTAGGCATGGGAGGTGTCTGGGAGCCTGCAGCAAGCCTGGGCCCTGCCCAGAAGTGGGGAGGGAAGTGGAGAAAAGTATCAGTCTGGGAAATCTGGCCACAATCAGGGAGCTAGGGAACAGGTTTCAGTGCCACCCAGCCCTGGGGATCCATGGGGGAAGGGGGAGCCAGTTCAGCTCCAGGCCAAGGGCAGCAGGATCTCAGGGCCCTAGGTTAGAGAACTCAGGCACAGGGAGAGGGTTGAAGATGGTACCTTTCCCCCTCCCAAATTTTCACAATCCCACTAGTTGGGACCTGCCTTTCTGAATGAATCTTGAAACTGGAGTCCCAAGTGTGTGCTTGTTACACTTGATCTTAGCCAAAAGGCCGAGAAGCGATGTGTGTGCTTGTTGATGATCCTTGTGTTTTGTTTTGTTTTTGTCTTTTTGGTGTGGTACTGGGTATGGAACCAGGCCTCTGATACTACTAGGCAAGTTTTCTATCACTGAGCTCTACCCTCAGCCCTCTTCATGATACTTTTTACAAACTCCTTCCTGTCTATGTTATTCTACTTCTCTAAATAAACATTCTAATTTTCTGAGTTTTGGAAATCACTATAAAAGGAAATACAGAAAAAATGGGCATATAAACAATAGAGCTCTATGTGGTTTCTGGAAGTCTGGGGCACAGGGTTAGCCTTTAGAATTTTACACTAACAGTGTCGATTTATTTATGCTTGTGTGTTGCTCAGGGCCGTCCTGGCTGCCAGTGATAGAAGCCGATCTTCGGCTGGCTGATGAGCAAAGGGATTGGTTGGCTGCGTATCTGGGCTGGATGGGCCTTAGGGGTTGAGGTCCTGTCATTTCTATGATGTTCAGAAGCTGCTACTCCGCTGTACACTGATTTATCCCATCCCCTATATATGGACAGCTGGGGACGCCCTGTTTTTCTGCCCTTCATGTGCTGCTCGGTATTTCTTAGCTGTGTCTCTGGAGCCATCCCAAGAAAACTACAGATCAAAGGACGCAGACATTAAATATTTCAGTAAATGTGGCCAAATGACCTTCCAAAAGATGGAACTAGTTGATTAACCGTCCTACCAGCAGAGCTGCGTACTTCAGTGCTATTTCTCATGCTGTGGAAGGCCAGCCCCTTCCAGTGGCCTACTTCCCAAGGCAGGCCAGCCCCCTGGGGCGCGCTCAGCCTGACGCCAGAAGCAACGGGAGTGCGTCTCCTGCTGTGGACAGGTCCAGCTCACGCCCCGCATCCCCTCCCAGCCCTTTCTGCCGGTGGACCCCTCGGGACCTCCTGTAGTTCTGGGTGACAGTACTGAGCCCCACTGGTACTGTACACCAGTAGGGACACAAAGCTTGTCCGTCCTCATCCCACCCGCCCACTCCAGGGCAGAGCAGGGGAGCAGCGGAGTCTTTTTCTCTCTAACCCTACCCCGTCTTGGTCCCCTGACCTGAGCCTGACCCCTGGGCTGTTGCAGACATCCTCCGCATAGACAACCTCTGGCAGTTTGAGAACCTGCAGAAGCTGCAGCTGGACAACAACATCATTGAGAAGATCGAGGGCCTGGAGAACCTCACGCAGCTGGTGTGGCTGGGTAAGGCCCTGGCCTCTGTGTCACACCCTGCCTTGGTTGTCGCCTCCCCAAGAGACAGGAATCACGCATGGCACTTAGCTGCCGGCCTGTCATTAGCCCAGGCACAGCAGAAGCTCTGTCTTCCAGGAGGAGAACAAAGCACTGCTTATTTTTTTAAAAGCCTGAGGCTCACGGTGACCTAAGCATGATAAAGGTGTGTCTGGACATCGGGACAGAATGTTCTGTTTCCACCCGCCCATGCCCTCAGTGGTTGGGGCACAGTGAGCAGGTTTGTGAACTGGCACTTAATCGAGACACAGGTGGACAGATAACTGTCACCCGGAGGGGCCCAGATCAAACCAACAGTGACCACGGCAGAAGCTGTGTGCATTGAACACTCAGCCACACACTCAGAGTGGACCTGCATGTTTTCTGTATTAGGGCTTTCTGTCCTCACAGCAGCCCTAGGTCATGGAGAGGAAGCGAGGACACCCGACTCCAAGCCCGGCTCTGACCCTAGAGCTCTGGCCTTTACTGCCAAGGCCATGGGCCTTGCACTGCCCAGCCAAGCACCGTGTCCAGCTGCTGGTTTCTTAGGAGCCCCTCCTATTTGGCAAGGGGCAGTGAGCACCCAATAGGGAAAGAGAATAAGCCTGAGAGCTCTTTAGACACCGTTAGCCCCCAACAACCTTAACGTTGGTGTTTGTTATAGTTGCAACCAATAATAGAGGAACCAAAGCTCAGAGAGGCCAGGGCACTGCCCAGAAGCCATACAACCAGCCCCAAAGCTCATGTTGCCTCCATCCTTCTGGGCTGCCTCCTGGTAACAGGGGCATCAGAGCACTTCCCAGTTTGTCTCACACTTTCAGATGTGGTTGTGCTGAGCCCCACCACTATAGCGACCTTACAGCCAGGATCACGCTGCCATTTCACAGATACAGCCAACTGAGGCTCAGAGAGGCTGGCCAGCTTGATGGGTCATATGCTGCAGGTAGGAAAGCATATCACAGCCAGGTCTTCCAGGTCTTCAGCCTAGGTCCCCAGCCCAGAGAGCCCTCACTGTGTGCCAGCACCCATTAATGCTGATATCCAGCTAAGAGATCTGTCTGCATTCCTGGGAGTCATCTCTGCAGGAGTTGAAGGCAGTGCCCCTGACCATACAGAAGGTGCCAGGGCCAAACCTTCACAGGAGCTATTGGGCCTAGCTGTCGCTCAGCCATGCGTCCCCACAAGAGCCCAGCATTTGCCCATTCACCCAGGGAGTGACTTGCTCCTGGCCATCGGTCCCTCCTAAACAATATTTCTCCTTCCTGATCAACCTGTCTGGGAGAGAAATTCTGCACCACCTCTCAGGGCTGTTGTCAGAGGATGTGCCTATAAGCACTTAATAAACAGGTAAATGCTAAGCAGATGGAAAGCAGTCTACTTAAAATACCTACAGAAGTTAGGTGGCAAGGTGGTACGTTCCTGTAATCCCACTCCTCTGAGGCTGAGGTGGAGGGATCACAGCCTGGGCCACTTAGTGACTTAGTGAGACCCTGTCTCAAAATAAAGAAGAGCTGGAGTTGTAACTCAGTCCAAAGGTCTTGGGTTCAATCCCTGGTGACGCACACACACATGCACACGCACACACAGGCACACGAAGGAAAGGGGCCACCCCCATAACTGTTGGCCCTTGACCCCAGGGCTTACTGCTTTAGACCTTCTAGTCAGTGTTTTCGTCTCAGCACTGTGACAGCATTGAGGTGTCCCCAGTCAGGAGGATGTGCGGCAGAACTTGGGAGAAGGGGACACGTAAGGCCCCAGGAAAGAATCCACACCAGGCTTCCAGAAGCCACAGGCTGTTGAACAGCAGGTCAATTCTTGGCCCCTCAACCGGTGCTAAAGCATAAGTACACAGTGGTTTTATTTCAGGACAGTCCCTCCCCTAGCCCAGGCAGCACATCTTCAGAGCACTCTTCCCTTGCCAGATCTGTCTTTCAACAACATCAAGGTTATCGAGGGGCTGGACACCCTGGTGAACCTGGAGGACCTGAGTTTGTTCAACAACCGGATCTCTAAGATCGACTCTCTGGATGCACTGGTCAAGCTGCAGGTGCTGTCACTGGGCAACAACCAGATCGACAACTTGGCGAACGTGAGTGGCCAGGCCTTGGGACTTGTGTGGGGGTCAGGTGGGCATCTGTAGCGTGAGAATTGCAGGGTGAGTGTTCCCTTCTCCCCCTTTGCCTGGAAATGTAGACGTCCACGTTATTCCGTGGGGGCTTAATCATGTTTAAAACAATGCTTAAGCCCACAAAACCCACCTCTGGGTGCCAGTCTGCCACCTCGGTTGTGGCAGAGTCCCTTTCTGACCCTGCATCTCATTCGTGCTCATTTCACAAACGTTTGCCGGGGTGAGGATCTGTTGGGTGTGGGGCGTTTGCCTTGTGCTCAGTGGGTACAGATGTGGTCCCTTTGGGGGAGAGCCCGCACCCAGACCCAGGTGACAGGAAGCCAGGGGCCCGAGGAACAGTAAAGCAAGACCCATGGAGGTAGGAAGGCATCCCAGGTGCCGGGGCATGTCTGGGTGACAGTGGGTCTTATTCGTCTTGGGGAAGGGTGGGCTTTCCCACTCCCCCTCATGGGCTCACAGCAGTGGGCTGGGACCGAGACTCTAGCAGCGCCATGAGGGTCCTGTGTCAGGTGACCCAGGGGGCCCTTACTTGGTGATCTGCTTCTCCAGCATGGTGTTGTCCAGCATCCTTTGAAGACGCCTTCGTTGCTTAGGTCGGTCTGATGGTCTGAGTTACATCCCAGCTGCGTGCCAGAGTGGGTTAGATGGGCAGCCTGGGCGGTCGTGTGTCAAGTTATTATCGCTGTTTGAGTCTGTTCAGCAAGGTCAAACCCCAGAGGCAGTGTAGTCCCAGAATTTTACCTGGCATTCTGGAAGACTGAAATCTGAGTAAGGTGTTAGTACTCTGTGACTCAGTTTCCTTGCCTGTCAGATGGACAGAGTGACAATATCCCACCTGTCCAGGCCCTCACAAGATCAAGTGAGGTGCTGCGTGTAAATTACTTGGTTCAGGGTTGGGCTGAAGCGGGTTCTTAACAAGCAGAGGACCTGTCATGGTCTACATTCTTCCTGAAAGAATATCAGGAAACAAGAGGCAACGTGTTTCAGACTCACTGAGAGATGATGAGACTTTTTCATCTAGCAGAAGAAGTGTTCTCAGGAGGTGAGGACAGCATCAGCAAAGGGCCAGGGGTTACCTAGGAAAGCCCACTTGCACCGTGGAGGGGTTCAGGGTCCTGAGAAGTCCAGGGTGTGTGCTCAGATGGGCTCAGCCCGGGAGCCGGGCTCCCTGCAACCAGGGACATCCAGGGAAATACTGGAACCCAGATGGCTTTGTGCTATGGTGTGCTCAGGCCAGGCCTGCACTTAGGAAGGGAACCCTCCACCACCGCTGGACAAGTAGGCGTCGCATGAATGGTGCCTAGGGTGGTGTCTCCAGAAAGGGTGCTTGACCTGCAAGTGTCAGAAAAGCTTAACCCCAGCTGGCTGGAAGCAGAGGTGAGACAGGGATGTGGGCGCAGGTGGTTTGTGTGGGAGGTGACTTCAGGAAGCTGGCGGGAGTGGCGGAGGAAAGGAACCAATACCTGGGTGTCACGGAGGTGGCCTCTGCAGGTGATGGGGCTGAACTCTGCAGGACTTCACAAATATCCAGAATGCTTCCCAGCAGTGACCGCACGTGGGTCAGAGCCGCCGGCACTGATTGAAAGTCCTGTCCCTCGACAGCTGGTGTTGCCCCTGGGGGATTAGATCCCTCCCACCTGGCTTCTGGGCCTCCTGGGCCTCTGGGTGTCTGAGACCTCTATGACGTAGAAAACCTGTGAGGAGCTGGGTGCTGTCAGCGAGAGCCTCTACAGTGGCAGCTCAAGTCAGAGGTCATCCAAGCCCTGGCTATAAACAAGGGCATTTAATGGCTTGGCTGTTGCACTGCAGAGAGGTGAAGCTTGTCAGTGGGGCGTCAAGGACACTGGTTCCTTCACTTCTGCTTTCTGCCAGCCGGCCTCACCACCTGCCCAAGTCGCTTCCCTTGCAGTCAAGGTTACAAGTTTCCTGGTTTATATCTAGCAGGACAGAGAACGTAAGAAATCTCTCCCCAGTAAGGTTTAGTTCAATCAAGCCATCTTAGGCTCTGTATACACCCTCAGCCCAGTATCCTGGCTAGAGCATGACAGGCTGGTGGCTTTGGTGAGCGGCTGACGATGTGTCCAAAGCCCAGAAGTGATACAGTCTCAAAAGCTTGCCCTGCATGCCAGTCAGAGGGTTTAAACCCACCAGTACCCTTCTTGGGGGTGAAGAAACTGAGTCTGGCGGGGTAAGGCATAGGGAAGGAAGGCAAGTAGGCTAATGACACCAGAGCTGAGATTCAGTCAGCCTGTGTTCAAATCCCAGCACTGCCGCCCTCCAGCTCTATGACCTTGGGCCTGGTAACTTAGAGTTCTGCGTTCCCCTTTGCATATCTGTAACATGGGATTCAGTGTAGCTTTTACCTCATAGGGTTGTGTTGAAGATTGGATCAGCTAGAGTGTTAGATGCTTCTTACAGGGCCTGGCACATAATAGCTACACAGAAGTATTATAGTTTGGAAAGACCGCCAAAATCTTTCTTTTCCTTTGGTGAGGAGTGAACCAGGGACTGCACGTGCTAGAGCAGTGCTGTGCCACTGAGCCACACCCTCATTCTCCAGTCTTGCCGCTTGAAGCTTTCGATGAGCATTTAGCAGATGGTTCTGGCTTGGTGTATCCTACACCCCAGGGTACACGTAAATGAAACCCTTCTGACTTGTTTTTTTTTTTTTTTTTCCTCCGGTACCAGGAACCGAACTCACAACCTTGCGCTTGCCAGGCAGGTGCTTTTGCCGCTGAGCTAAATCCCCAGCCCTCCTTCTGACTTGTTAACCCTCGGACTTGGAGAGTTTACTGGAGCCTGAGGCGCTGTCCCTCCAAAGGCCCAGGCCTGGACGTGAAAGGGCGGAGGTGGTCATGCTCTGGCCCCATCCCCTTGGCCTTGGGTATCCTCCCATCCTGCCTCTGCAAGGCCTGGGCAGGAAAATATCCCATCACCTGTGGCCAGTGGGCACCATGTTGCCCTATATGAATGTTCCGTATACCCATATAGCTACAGTCCCTAGAGAAAAAGAGGAAGAGAGAAGGCCCGTGGGGAGAGGCTGCCAGGGAGTACTGAGGAATCTGGGCCAGATGTTCCCATGGCTGGGCTGTGTCCTGTGGACTCCAGGGATCCAGGATCCTCTGTAATTAATCCAGCACCGGCCCTCTGTGGGCCTTGGCCCAGTGGGTCCTGACAGATACTTCCCGGGCATTAGCTTCTAACACCAGCATTTTTGGTTTTAATTCTTAGTCTCCCTGCTTATCTGACATCTAATTACATGCGCTCTTGTCATTTATTTACTTCCAAGGCTTAATACCTGCTTATTGCTTTTGGTTTTTGTTTTTTTTTTTTTTTTTTTTTTTTTTTGGTCTTTTTGAGACAGGGTCTCACTACGCAGTTCCGGCTGGTCTTGAGCTCACTTTGTAGCTCAGACTGGTCATGAACTCAAAGAGATCCTACTGCCTCAGCCTCCCGAGTGCTGGGATTACAGGTGTGCACCACCACGCCCAGCCTGCTTATTGCTTTACAAACACAGACTCTGAAGCAGAACTCAGGGCACACAGGAAGAGTCCTCTCATTCCTGGCCTCATTCCTTGCTTCCCTCTCCCAGGACCTCAGCTACTTCTAAGCTGCCTGTGTGTGTGTCCAGGTGCCGGGAGTCTAGACATTGTGCACAAGCACCTACTGCCTTCGGTGTCCCTCTCCCTCGAGTCGTCAGTCCCCCTTCTCTGCTGCATCACACCACTGCTCAAACATGGCATGACACATTTTTCATTTCCCTGGAGGTGGATGTCAAGGTTGGCTCTAACCTTGGTACCATTATACACAGGCTACAGTGAATGTCCTTGAACGGGCGATGTTCTTAAACAGGGTTACTTTGCACCTGGATTAATCCATCTGTAAGATGAACTCCCAGAGAGGACTTCCCAGGTCAGAAGGCATATGCATTTTTAATTGTGATAGATCTTAGTCAAATACAGCTGTTTACAGACCCGCCAGCGGTGATGGGGCAGCCTGGTCTCTCTCACCTTCCACAACACATTTTGTTATCAAACTTTTCTGTTTGCTGATCAAAAAGATGGAAAATAGAATCTCATCGGGTCATCTCTTAAAAATTAAACCAGATCCTGTATCCCTCATGCACACTTAAAATTCCAATGGTCGCGCTGCCCTTGGATAAAGAAAATCCAAAGTGTGTGCTCACAGCCTGTGTGGGCTTCACCAACGCCCCCTTACTTTGTCTAGCGTCATTTCACGTCCTCCTTACAGCATTCTGCAGCCACATGGGCTGCTCAGTTCCCACTAACTGCCGAGTTCCCTTGTATCGCAAGGCCTTCGCCCGCACCATTTTAGCTCTGGGAGTGTGCCTTCCCTGCTCTACAGTGGCTGACTCCCTCAAGGCTCAGATTAAACACCACCCCCCTGAGACAGTTGAGCCCCCTAGCTGGAAAAGGCGTCTTCATTATTTTCTCTCACCGTGCCATCTTTGCATTCTTTATAGCACTTACCCTGCACTGTAACGATTTCACTTTAAGAAAACCTTTTGCCTCACCCCTAGAATGGGAGCTCTTGCTGTTAGATTATGAGGGCAAGGACCCGTGGGCCAAGTTCCTGGCTCATCCTGCCAAAGCCAGCCGCCTACCTGAGCCCTGTTAAGTGCTTAGGAAGGTTTGTTGCACAAATAAGAAAGTCAAGGAGTGAAAAGAATGCATTTAGAAAAGCACATACAGTTCCTCCTCTGCCTTGCAGAGCACCGTGGCGAGGCACTCAAACAGTGCTATCACATGAGGTTATTAACTATGTGCTTGACCTTTTCTCATTTTACTAAAACTGGAGAACAGGAGGAACAAACAGCAACCGGTGTAGTGTTCCACTCCCTATGATCCAGGGAGTTCAAAGTTAGCCGTACATCAGCTCCACTTAATTTAGGAGGTTTAACGGGCGTGGTGGTGCACACCTGCAATCCCAGCACTTGGGAG